TAAAATAATATTTGTACATGTATAAAGATAGTAATATTAGAATGTAATAATTATAAAATTCAAAGTAGTATACTTTTATTAGCAAGTAGCAAGTTTCAATGTCGATATTTTTTATGTGGTATCAATATGTTAAAATTTTAGATTTTTCTTAAAAAATCAATAAAATATTTATATAATTTCTATAATATATTTATTTAATGATAAATTTTTTATAACTGCGACAAAATACACGTCTGATCTGATATCTCATCGATTTAATTTCGTTCTTTAATCTAATCTAATGTGGAGTACAAGTTTTTTCGTTTAAGAGTGTTGCAGGTCATCCTTAATATTCGTATCTGATTCGAACCTCAGAGATACGATTGAAATGTTTTTAAACCTTTTAGTCTTCTTTCTGATATTGTCATTAGTTTCTTTTACTTTTTATTTCTTTCGGTTTTCAAAATATATTACGATAAATAAATGTATCTCCAGTATATCCATAAGTTTTGTATATACATATATATGTATATGTATACATATTAATAGTCTTAAAATTTTTTTTAATATAAAAATCTTTAGTTACATTCCCTCTTTTAAAAAATGCTTCCTTTAAAATCGTTTCTTTCAAATGTTTCTAAAATGTATGATCAAAATTACTGTTGATTATGTATTCTACAAGTAATTTTCTATTTTGCACAAAATCTTGTTTTATCCGTCGAGACTTTGACTTTTGATCCTGTCTCACAGACACTTGATCTCCAGAGACTTCCTCCTGCCCGTCGTGGGAGCCATTTTTCTTGGCCCGACTTGATTCGACTCCACCGGAAACGCTCGTCTAGAGCAAAAACAGTAGCAATCGGGGACTCCTGCCAGAGCCGGTAAATTGAAACTGGTTACGCCGGAAAGGATGTCGGAATACTATCGTATGAAAGAAACAGAATCTACTTTCCAGAAAAAGATCAGTGAAATAATAGGAATAATAAGACACAGGGGAAATAAGTAATAAGGAATTTCCTTTGAGAGAAGCTTTTTTCAAAATGTAGTACATAAAAATCTAAAGACAGCAAAATCTGACTAGTTAATAATTATAAAGGACGACGTAATTATATTAGCAAGCTTAATTTTATTCAATGAAAAGTATCACAACCTTTCAATATCTAAGAAAATTTATCAATTTAATAACAAAAGTATAAATATTGAAATTGATATTATTAACAATTTAGTTCCTTAAAAGTATATTCAGACATTTTAACATAATATGCTCGCCATATTGATAGATTTCAAATTTTTATACATATCAAAATTAGGAAGTGTTCAAAGTCTATTTTAAAAAGTTTATATAAATTTTTACATTTTACGTGTCTCCTAACTGCTATTATTTTTTAAATAATCGTCTGTATTGTTTTCCTCTATCCATTTATATTTAAACAATTATTAAACATTTCTACAAATTACCGAAACTTAATTTTAAGCTATTTCTCTTTACCTCTGAAGAATTGATTTAATAAAATATAAAAGAAAATATTTGGCAAGTATAAGTATTTAATTATCGAATGAATAAGATTACGAGTATTCAGCACAAATGATAATATATTGTACATGAAATGATAATACGAATATGTAGAATAAAAAACAAAGGATCCTGGATAAACATTATTTTCTCGAAAAGAGAAAAATTAGTATATAACCTTCATAACTGTAGATTTATGCTGGGTATAGAAAAATTATATATTTTTTATATACGTTATCCTCGATTATTTCGCGACTATAAAAAGATCAGTTTATCGCTGACGATTTAACTGCCATGGAACATATCAGAGTTGTTTTTACGGTAGCTTTGTAAATAAAGCTCCAGTAACGCACTAGCACAAAAGTAGGGGACGTTAAAATTTTATTAATGAAAATTTATCTTCCGCATTACGGACATATCTGTTGATAGTTCAAATGTCCAGTTTTTCTAATAAATCAGTTGGTGCGGTTAAATAAACGCTGTATATAGCACAAAGCACTCATATTAAACAATAGTTTGTGTGTGTGTGTATGCATATACATATGTCACAGAATGAGAGAGCGAGAGAGAGAGAGAGAGAGAGAGAGGGGGGAGGCAGTGGTAGGAGAAGGAGATGGGGTGGAAGGAATGGGGGGAAAGGAAGAAGGGAACGCGGTTGGTTAAACTTGTAATTGAAAACGAGGAAAAAGCTTTCCATAGTCCGATATTTCTCGTGATTCGATTCGCGGCACGATCGTGTTACTAAAAAGAAGACAAGTATATTTCTTGCTACAAAGTGTGCAGCAAGTGGCCAACTTCTGTTCTGATTTCAAATAAAAAATCAATACAGTAAAAAAAAACAAAATAAAAATATATAAAATACTACAATGTTATATGTATATAATCAATATGAAATAAGATAACCAAAACGATCCGGGCAGAATGTAGGTAGTGCGAATTTACTATTATATTATATGTATAAATATTTTATATTTTATTCTAAAATTATATATTATTTTATATGTTAATATATTTTATTTATTATTATGTAAATACTTTATATATTAGCATATAGTATAACTAAAGCTACAATAGTATATCTAAAACTGTTATAAATGCAAGTTTTATATTATAATACATTGTTCTATTACATCGCTCCACTACTCTATTACTATGTAATGGATTTAGAAAAATGATCCGCTAAAGCAATTATTTGATAAAATGAAGAAAATACTAAATTGAAATAGTAGTTGCATGACAATGAAAATCAAACGAGCTTTTACTTGATACTTTCGAAAAAGCTCACAAAAGATATGTAGTGCTTCGATTATTTTTTTCGTTTATTACACGAGGGATATAAAATTTCCGTTGTTTCGGTTGTTCTATTTTATCGCGTATGACGTATCACATTTGTTTTCTCTGCCGATGCCATTTCGTTTTGTATCGAAACGAGTAATATCGTTTGTTTTCTGTATTGGTAAGTGATAAAATTACTACTTGCGGTAAATAGATAGAAAATTTGATAATGTCGATGGCATGAGAAGGTATGCGCAGAATTGCGATGACAATAACATGCATAGTAATGTGAATGCAAGAAAGGACATTGATTCGTGATTGTTCTTTCAATCCAAATGTCTCTTTGCAACATGTTCTATTGCAAGATTTAAAGTTAATCATTCCATGCTTTAATTAGCTTCTAATTAGCTTCTCATTAGCCAGGTGATAAAATGGATTATAGTAGTTATATGTAATTAAAATTTTATAATAACTGATTACATATTACTTTCGCATAGGAATATACAGTATAAAGCTGATGTTGATTTTAATTCACATAATTATTAACATAAATCACTTTTAAATCATGATTAATTATCCTTTAACGAATCGTGAATATCGCGCAAAAAAGATACTTGCAAATATTAAATACTATTATTATTAAAAAGTATGAAATTATTTTCTTTTCCATTATAAATCACACTCAATTATTATATAAATTGAATAATGTTTTTCATATATTTTAGGATTTTGAAACGAAAGGATTTCAAGCTATGTCTATTCAGATTAATCTTTTTTTAGAATTTTCCCTAATAAATTTCTTATGGTGGAATCTTAAACAGTTTGGCAATTATTAAAGGTTTAATTTCTTTTCGCGGAGAATGCACCTTACCCCATCATTATTGAGATAAATATTAAATATATGGAAGCTTTCGGAAGCGCGCTGTCCGAGAGAGCGTTCCGCCGGGAGCGACGACTGGATTAAAGGAATTCCTGGATGGAGTGCATCCACGTGGAAATCGAGAATACGTAATAGCGTGAGTCTTCCCCCGTGGACGTGGAACGCTGGTCGAGCAATTAGCTAATTCCCAACGAGACGAAAGAAACGGCAATGACGCGAGGACAACGTTGCCGAGCAACGCCGTTTGACTTGAAACTTTTTAATTAACGCAAATCGCGAGCCACATTTCGGATCTTCTCTGCGGCTGCGGCGTCACGGCCAACCGCGATAGAAAAAAATTCCATTCATTCGATTGCTCTACCTTCGGTTTTTCTTTCATCAATTACCTAACGTCTCCTTCCGTCCGTAGTGTATTAGAAACAACTTTGTAAAACTAATTTTTGTGAATAATATGAAAATTAAATTAAAGTATTATTTAAAAGTTAAAATATTATGGGAAAAGTATTTGTTTAATTGGCAAGTATTAGTGATTATACGTGCAAAAAAAAGACAATCATGAAAATTATACTTTTGATTTCTCTATGCGGAGAAACGGTGCGAAAATTTATTTATTTCTTGGCGTTTATTACATTCGCAATGTTGAACGTCACCGCGCACTACTCTCGATTAACGAAGAGTACAGGCGCTTATTGCTCTGACGTGCAATTCCGCGAAAGGATATAAACGAATGGATATACCGGTTGTGTTTTTACCATTATCTCTCCTCCTCCCAATATTGCATTCTAATGCAAAAAATGCAACGAGACTAACCATTCTGCGGATATTCGCACGTTTCAAATACGCTCTTGCTGGCGTGATCGAAAAATTGAACGATATATGCGTGCATTGTCCTAAATATCTCTGTGCGAACAAAATGTATAGACGTCGGTTTTAATTTGCCGAACGCAATTTTCACGGGACTCGTTACTCCAAGATTTTCATAAAATTTGTGAAGGAATTACGACAATTCGATATATGTATGTTGACCGTACAAAATATTTATAATGTTGAAACTAAACATAATATTATCTTTGTAATATTCAGTATTATACGATTTCAATAATGAGACATTCTAAATGTGTATTATTTTCTCTTTTGAAACAAGCATATATAAATATTGTTATCAACTGACTAAAAATTAATGCGTTTTCTCTTACCGTCTTCTTCAAGCGGGATATCGGGGACATGTTGAGGCCAGCGATAATCGCCATTAAAGAATTGAAGTTGCCAATATTAAAACATTCTCGGGCAGTCTCGATCCAGTATTCGACGACACGAACGCGCTGCTTTTTCTTTGCGTGCTGAAAAAGTAGGAAGAAACTTTTGGTTATGGAGTATCTAACACGTTCACTAATCTTTTGAGAAATTTGAAAAATATTTTATTATCTTTTACTAAAGAATTTTGATTCAGCAATTAGAATTATGCAAAAACAGTTGTGAAGAACGTGAATATGCATTAAAGCGATAATACTTACTTTACAAACTTCCGTCGCTACGAAGTAGCTCAGTCTATTAAACCATTGAACGTAAGACTCAAGATTGCGAGTCTTCTTCATATCTTTAAAAGACGTTTCTAAATGCGGCGATTCCTGGTAGTATAATAAAAATAACAGCGTTTAATATAATTTGCAATGCAATTATAAAATTATTGTAAAAGTATTTATAAAATAACTCAAATGTGAGATAAATGTAATTTTGTCTGGAAATAAACTCACTTTGGCGAAAGCCTGCACAAATTCCTCGGGTCCGATGTAAGAGAGTCTTTCAAGTTCTACATGAGTCAATTGTTGTGCCAGTACAGTGGCCGATGGACAGAGTTCAGTGATATCCACCTAAATAATAAAATAATAATTTTATATTAACACGCCCAAAACAATACTTCCAGATAATGTCATATTATAGACAATATAATAATTTATAGGATTTCATAAAATGAATATTGTAGAAAAACATTCAACTAAGAATATGGAAATTACATATATTTTTTGTAACGTGTTACCAATCACGTTAGATTTTTGAAAATTATGGATTTGTATTAGCTTTGAAATTAATCAATTTAATAAATTTATATGAAAGATCACACGTTAGCTATGTGTAATATAAACACGTTTACATGAAGAAGTTTATTGTATCTAAACCGTGTCCTCACTGAGAGAAAATGCAACAAGATTACAAGGAAAGAAAAACTCATCTGAGTATTCAGTAGTAATACCTAACAAATAACCAATTACACTGTTTGCTGTGTCGCCATTGACTTTTCCACCTGTTTTCATAAGAGTTCAACCTTTGAGAGCTTTGATTTCTTTATTCTTCGTACTTGTTCGCTTTATTCTATTGTATTTAATTTATTTAGTATTTTTTGCAACATTTTAAAGTCCGATATGAGAGAGAGAGAGAGAGAGAGAGAGAGAGAGAGAGAGAGAGAGAGATGTGGAAAGGAGAGATGTGCATCATTCATTCGGGATGCGTTCTATTCTCAGTTCCTCGTTTAATTGCAAGTTTATATATATGTCCATAGATGTGCTTCCTTTGGTTTTGATTTGCGAAGAATGATAGATGGTGATAAATATATGTATTTATCTTTTCCGATTGCGGCAGAGAAGTAAAGACGTCGCTAAGAGGCGACGAATAAAATCACTAGGCCGCGTGATCCGTTTAGAAGGAAATGGCACTCCGAGACGGACTTCCCTCTATCGAATTATATCGTCGATTGTATTATTGAAGTGCCACGCACAGAAGTGGACAAAGACTAAGAAGAAGAAAAAGAAATTGCTTTGACGAGTGTGCCCGTAAAAGAAAAAAATCAAGAATCTCCACGTAGAATTCTGCTTTGTAAAAGATATCGCAATCACTTCAAATATCTCGAAGCAAGCAATCAAAGTATGATATTTTTTATAAATAAAGAACACTCTTAAACGCATAATTTTGTGTGATAGATAAAATAAATTTTTGTGATTTGTGAAAATTCACCATTGGCGCAATTAAATATGTAAGAATAAATTTTTACTTGATCAATAAACACTTTATTAATACAACAAATACAAGAAACAACCGTGCATAGCTAAGGTGAGAATTGCATATAATAAAAGTAAAAAAGAAACTACATAAATTTGAAATAAAGTGTTAATTAGAAACAATATTAATTTTTTCTGCAATTTAAGTGATATATCACTAGTAGAAGTGTGTTTGCACATAATTCATTTGTAGTTCGTAACTAATTTTTGATTGTTGAATATATTATATGTTTTGTAATACATGACATCCAGCTGCTTTTAATTAAATTGATTCAGTTGCGATATAGTAGTATTGATTACCCCAATATGATAGCGGAGAGTTTAAAAATTGTTTACGAGTTGTTTCCAAAAATTAGAAAATTTTCCTTCGTTTCATGAAATTGAATTTTTGTACTTGACATACATATTGATTTAAACGAGATTTGCATATTTTAAATGATTTAACAATTTTATTATCAATACCCCAGACCGTAGATAATGTATAAATATATTATGCAAACAGGAAATAACATGGAACATACATATAAATAAGAAAGAAGAGTAGCATTGACTTATAACATTTATTCTTTATTTCTATTTTCTCCAATAGGAAATTACTTTTCTCAGCAAAAGCAATTTTGAGGTAAAGCAAAGCGAGTAGATAAGTAGACTTGTAACAAAAAATGTCATGCACACGCCATGTTTTCTCATGCAGTTTCATTTTAAGAGAGCAAAACTCATTTAAACCGATGGATAAAATAAATTGTAAGTTAAAACAAAATTTCTAACGAAAGCGGAGAGGATGCAATCACGAGATATTTCTGCTAGCTCTCGATATAGGATGCACTTAGAAGTTGCTCGATAGAAAGAAAACAAATATCAAAAACTCATGATTGGTCTCGTAAGTTACTTCTCGTCTTGAGCAAAAAGAAATGGTCTTTTTCTAGTGTGACACGTAACGAACGACTACTGCGAAAGTACGTCAAACTAATAATTCAACTCTTTACGCTTGGGATTATTTGTATCGTTATGTTGACGGGTAAAACAACGTAATTATATTTGGAAATTTACGAGTACGAAAATACGAAGCCTTTAAGCTTAATATATCTTGTTCCGTCTTTCAATTAAAAAAATTAAAACTAATTCACGATACTTGTTGTGAAATAATGACGAATATTGCATTACGCTACAATTTATGGAAGGTATATCAATCCTCGAAGGAAAAACATAGAAAACCAAAATAAAAAACCAAAATGAGAGGCGAAAGGGGTGAAAGCGGGAGGGAAGTAGAGAGAATATGGTATTATTAGTCTCGAGAGTTGTAACTCGTTTCCAAGTGAAGTTGCTGTCGTCGTGGCACGTACAGAACGAGTTGAAAAACGCACCGAAGCGAATTTGCGGTTTAATAAGCCGAAGCTTCGCGAGAGCTCAACGTGCTCTACCCGTCTCGTCTTTTCTTCTTCTGTTGTTCCTAGTATTTCTTTTTTCTACTTACACGAGCTCTCATCTTTCTTTTCCAGCTTGTCTTGGAGCCCGTGATAAGTAATCTCCGCGCAAATTACGAATCATATACGTAAAAAAAAATCGCCGAAGCAACCACGTTCAAATGGCCACAGTTGCTTTTGTTCACGTACAAAGTTTTCGATATGGTAACAAAGAAATGATAATAAATGTAACTATCGTCGTCAAAGGAATCAACCGATTAGCCTGTTTTGATTGCAAGAGCATGTATTATTTTTTGCTTCTTTATAAACAACAAAATTGAAGGATTACATACAACTTGATGCTAAACGTTGAGCAAATACGTAACAAAAGATAACGTCGTAAAGGATAATAGAAATTGTTATCGTATATTTATTGCACACCTTTTACATAAATGTATATACATATAATCGATCAAGGTTTTCAGAAAGCAGAAGCTGCGTTTTCATATCCGGGAAATTGTGTGTGCTTGCAAGTGTCTTATTTCCTTGTAGAAATTTTACGACATTTACCATACAATCGGTAAAATCGTTTGAATATTCTTTGGAGCCAGAAATTCCATCTCGCAGGTTTAATGGAAATTTTCGTTTTAAACATATGAATACCTAATTTTAGTCCCATCCCGCATGTAAGTAACAGTTAGTTTGTATTCATGGCAGAATTATTGCGTGCGTAAGTTCAATATAGATTTCCCACAATTCATCGCTTATACATGTATCGTGTGTAAATATTTTGGAGAATAATCCGATTGAGAATGGAAAATAATGTTTGGACGCGTTCTGAGCCGTTTACCAAAATATGATGTGTAAATAAAAATACAATTTTTGTAAGAATACATTTTTTTATCTAAATATACTAGAAAATAGATTCTGCAATTTTCTACAAAATGTATATAGTTTCATGTTTTAATGCATAGATAAAAATCGAAATATAAAATTTACCAATTATTACCAAAATTTTATTTTTATACGTAATTATGAACCAATTATTTAATTATTAAAACAGTTTGCATATTTTTAACGATTTAACAGTTTACTTTATGCAAAAGCTATTTATTTTAATCGAAAACTCTAATTAAGATTTGAATATTTAGAGTTTTATGGTGTTCTTGATAGAATTTTTCCAGGATAATTGGATATGTTGAATTTCAACTTTTACTCTAGTGTAAACTTATGCTTCCCGTGGTGCAATTCAATTTTCTGTTATAGCATTCTAAATAAGAAAATTTAAATGAAATATAGACAGCAATATGCTATAAAGACGGACATTTACAGTGAAAAAAGGAGTTTCAGCAAAGTATTAAAAGTAAACGACTCGATAGACGTATCGAGTGGTATAAGTATAATCACACCGTTTGAGAGAAATTGCACTTTCCGGTATCGTCGCGATTCTTGGCACGTTTACGCGAAACGATCGAGGTAGTATCCAAAGGGGTACGGAGGCCCACATACACACACAATTTCGTACTGATTAGCCACACATGACACCGTCCGGTATATTTAACTAACTAATGTAGCTGCAAATTACCTATTAGCGGGTGTTACAAGCGGCAGATAGGCACGCGATAATCAAATTAACGGAATGGTTAACGTCTCCCGGTATGGAAACTGCGCTAACAGGGTTAGACTAACCGCGCAAAGTGCACGCGCGTACATTGCACGCACGTGGACGTCCAAGTTTGTGCGTTTCGATCGGGATGCTGTTACGTATATGTGTTGCGCGCGATACGTAACAGTCGTGATATAGCAATCCATGTGTGGAACGGTCGGAAGTGAGAGAGAATGCATAAGAGGGGCGGGGCGTTACCCGGAGGGAGAATATTATCGCTTCATTATGTTGAAAGTCCTCGAAGGGTCGATGCGATTACGGTAAACCGAATAATCGGGCTTTGCAACATGGCAAGCCGGTTACGCGAAAATCCATATTGAAATTGTGGTACAATACGGCTCTCGATTCGATGCGCGATTGACCGGGCACTCTTTTTCCCATTATTTTATTACCTTACATAGTGCGTCATGTACGAGTTTGTATAAAGCCTCATGATTTCAATTTTTCTAGATATAGCTTGCATCCAAATCTAATTATAATGATGTGATCGACGCATATTGTTGCGATTGTAAATTTTACTTGTGCGAAATAGCAATTATTTTTTATAAATACACTGTAAAAAAAAGTATGTAAAATTACATACATAATAACTTAAGTGTAGCGATTACATTATTAATAACGGAAATATATAAATTTATGTACTTTTACGACAAACTTTTTTACTCTATAAGGTAACAAGTTTACCTACATACACCTTAAATAGATGTCCCAATAGTACCCACTATAATAATTGTAATTTGACATGTAATTTTCTTACAGTCTAACAAATATTATCTTGACACAGGAAATTATGTGAATCGTTAGAATTAATTTCTTTGCGAACAGAGAAAGCTTGCGTTATCATTGAATTATACTTTTATTATTTAGGCATTTTCGACGGATTGTGTGTTGCTGATTATTATTCTAGGTGATCTTTTTCCGAAGAAAAAAAGAATGGACGAGTGTCATCGCCAATTTTACACGCACAATCTTAGAGAGATCGGCGATGTAGTTTGGAAAATGTCGCGCTAAGCCACTAACTAAGCCGAGGTGGGACATCGAAATGCAAGCTGACGGCCGCAAATGGGCGCTTGTACCGAAACTCACGAACCTGTGTAAGCTGCTCCGTCGCTGCTTCAGTCGCTAGTCTAGCCAGGCCCTCTTCGTACCTTTCCAGAGCCGTCAGTCGTAGCAGCAAGTTTTGCAGCAGCGCTGAAACTTCCTGCCTGGCCGCGGCGTCAACCGCGGCGACTTTCTGCGTGATGGACCTAACGTGACCCATCACCCTCTCATCTCGGAAGTCATACGGAAATGTTTCCGTCCATTCCGCTAACAGCTGTACCAGCCGCGGCACGAAGCGATGCAATCGTTCCTACAATACGTACGGATATTTTATCGTTTTCCAATGACGAAGGAGAATTTTTTGTTCCAGGGGCTAAAATGTCTTTCGAAATGCAGTTAATAAAATGATGAGAACGGGATAAGGACGAGAAATAACAGAGATTGACTTTGAAATATTATAATACCGTCATACTTTATGCATTAACATACAGAGGGAAAAAAATCTGTAACATCGACTTGAAAACGCTTTAATAATCGTAATTCGATTTCGAAAGAAAAGCATTTTAATGATTGACAATTTACTAAGGTAAAAGATTAGGAGGAAAAGGAGATTGAGAAGGAATATACGGAATACTTAATATTTTCCGATAGAGGGACCAGATTGAAGAGGTATAGAGTTGCTGTAATCAGAGTCTGGCCAGTTGTTTCTTTTTTTCAGGAGTTGCCAGAAATAGAGAAAAAGCAATCAAAAGTTGCCGTATGATGAGAGGACTCTCTGGAGAGTACCAGATGAGGATGCGTGACTTTATGATGAAATGATAATACGCGAGCTTCGCGAATGCTGCGTAATGTCAGTAGGGGGCTTGGTGTCATTTCGCAAATCGTAAGTGTACCGATGCTCACCTTGCCGCCCTCTCCATTCAGATTCTGCTGATGCTCGCAGAGAGCGCAAACCTCGCCTAAAAGTTCGTGTGGTTTGATGAAGAGCCTGGCGCTTAGCAAAAAGGCAAAGAGATACGCCCGATCAGGATAATATTCCTCCGTAGGCACCATATGCTGCACTAACGCCTCGAGTGAGCCTGAGACCAGGTTGCCATCTCGGTACACCAAAGCCTGAAACAGTATACGGGTTGCTTTGAGTACAGTAACGCGATAACGCAATGCTTCGAATTTAGTCTACTATCCGCAATAGACTCGGTATAATAATGGTTAACATACGAGTGACACAAAAGAATATTTAAATGACATTTTAAAATACTTTCAATTTTTGAAATATTATAAAGAGAGAGAAGGGAGAGGCGCATTTGTTCTGCTGAGCTCTGAAGCGATCTCTCTAATGTAGGGCCGTCTTGTTGACCGTCAAAAGAGGACAGGCACGTCGCGCGTAATACTCACAAACAGTCCATTCTATATGTCGATGTATTTACATAGCGCGTGCGCGTTCCAATTAATTAATAGATAAAGATAATAACAACAAGAAGTAGGATATATTTGAGATTAATCGAATATTATACTACGGCCACCTTAATATAATGTCCTTATATCCTGCAAACTTATCGAAAATATCTTGCATAATTTTCAAGATATTTAATTTCATATATGTATATAATATGTTATACAATAATTGATTCACACGATATTAATCAGACACGCATTACGAGCTAGCAATACATAATTGTAGGACTTTTTGAGATTTTTTCCATTGTGCAATTTTGCGTTATGTTCTCGGTACACTAGACTTTTTTACACGCAGATACGTGTGCGGAATGTAGAATTTGCTAGGTAGGTACTGTCGAACACCTCCGCGGAACGCGCTTTTGAGTTAGCTCGTTTCAAAGTTGGCGAATGCTAAATCTGAGCATCGTCAAAGTTGCACTCACAGCCGAGGTAAGCTCTAACAAGCTGTCGGGTGTTCAAATTGGATTCCAACTTAAACTTATCGCGTCTTAATGCGACATTGACGAGGTAATATTTCCACCATGAACGACCGTTCAAGTTCTTGACGCATCCGATTACCTTAGTAATATCGTTCCAAAAATGCACATATTAATTCACATATGACAAATATATGAACAAAAATATTTATTACACCACCGTACGAAATCTTGTCAATAATTGATTAATTGCTGAAATCACAAATCACCAGTAGTTAATAAAATGAATATTAAATATTATATATCGTAACCTACGATTGATAATTGATTATTATAATTGAGAAAGCTTTCTTTTTCTGCATGTTACATTTTTTGTTCATATTGTAGATATGTGTTGTGCATTTCTCTCATTGCGATATATTTTGAAAACACTCGAGTAACTGATATAAACTTGTATGATCCACATGAAGGATTTAAATGGCTTAACTCAACTTCCGTTAATGCAACATCGACGAGATAACGTTCTCACCTCAACTCGCGAGCAGTATAGAAACTTTCAACATCAACAGTCGGTCGAGATACACGGGTTAATGCGAAAGTGTGAAAAGCTACCTCAATTACATATGTACCGCACTATCCTAAATCTCTCTCTGAAGCTTTTTACTTGATTATAGATAATTTGATTAACTCAATAACGCATATGTTCTTAAAATTTATATAACTCAAAACATTTTTAACAAACGTACGTATTCGTGTTTGTTCGCTAGAATCTCTTTAATGCAAAAGTATTGCGTAATCTCCTTGGCAGAAAAGAAGATACGACCAATATCACATTTTCTGTTTTTAATACTTTCAAAACTTTCAAATGACTATATTTTCACTATCAAAAATTATAAATAAAATATATTGTTAAGTTCTCATCTTAATAGTGTAGAAATTAATAACAGAGTATTTGTATTCTTACGTAGAATTTTTGTTAATTTTTCTGAATGCCATTGTTTCGTCTAAAGACGTGGATATTATTTAAAATCTTGATTCATAATCGTTTTCTAATAAATGTTACCAGCTACTTTAACTTTGCGATGTGGTATTTTATGATGGCGCATGAATATTGTTCGACTAGGACTTTACGTGGCTTTGAGAAGTTTTAGGTTCAATTAGTTTATTGAAACGGAGGGCGGGAGGTCGTAACGGTACGGTACTATTACGAAGTTTCCACAGGTCGTAAAGCGTTTCCATCCGTGCCACCTATTTTCCAGTAACTGCAAGTAACAAAGTGAATACGCTAGTGTTGTTCTCGGCTTCTCTTTTCTGTGTTCTCAATTCGGGTCATGTTTGTTTTCAGAAAGAAATTAAACTACGTAATCTCTTCAAGCAACTTTAATTTCAAGTAATAAAGATACTTCGTTCTTTTTATTTCTACAAATTATATTGCAATTAATAATAATCTACGCTCTATGGGAAATTTTAAATGATCGCAACTATATGCTTTTTTATTTGTACTGCTTGTGTTTGATCGTCTTTTCCTTTTCTTATTTTCTTTTTAGCAGATTTATGTACGTTACGCAAACTTATTTACGTTATCTTTTGATTTTTCATATTCAAATACTCTGCCGTGTTTTGTTACAAAATAGATATCTTCGGTCTTTAATTATTCTCTTGATAAAATATGACGATAACAGTATAGTAATAACCGATCGTTTGACGATTAGAAAAATGTCTGGAAAAAATCCCGAATAATAGAGTATGCATCGTAAAGTATAAGACGACGCAATTAGTTCGCAATTTATCAAGGAGCCATGGATGAAAGGTCTTACGTGAGGAAAATCAGACATGATAAAAAGTTAAGTAGAGCACTTCTCTTAAAATGGCGACGCTGTTCTCGTAAAGACTAATCGTAAGGCTGATGAAAAATTAGAAGGCCAAAAAGGACGGAATAAAGTTTCTCGTAGGTTGATGGAAAGTTTAACTCAATTTTATTTAAAAAAAAAAGAAGAATAATTCTTAAGGTCATACGGGACAGAAATGCAAAAATTTGAGGAACAAAGAGTGAGAACATTTTGCAAGCGGGATTAATCAAACGAAAAAACGAGAAGAACGCACGGCACCCTGAGAGACTCTTTTGTACTTTGAATAAAGCTTTTAACATCTGTGATACAATTTCGCTCGCTTTACATGGCTTATTAATAAGATGATGAAATGCATGAAATGTGGTACTTATTGGAAAACGCGGTATCAAAAGCATGCATAAGAAATAACTATTAAAATTAATTAAACTCTTACACAAACTACTTATATAATCATAATCATATCAGTTTCGACAATAAAATTTTAATAATGCTCATAACCCTATTACAAAAAGTATAAAATTAAATTAAATAAAACTTTATCACTATCAGGGTTAATGATAGACATAATCGCGCGATTAATGGTTTTCTACATATACCGCAAAAAGGTTATATCACAATCTGAAAAAGACAGACATATTGTACATACTTTACAAAATTTATAAAATGTATTAAACTTCTATAAATCATATTAAAGTGATTCGAAGCGCAAGTACAAGTTGAGTGCAAATGTAAATGTAAAACTGATATTCGTGCGCATACTTGCAAAGAATAAAAGAATTTTATTATATTTAATACAGATGAATAAAATTGATAATAAGCAATAAGCTATTTAATTATTATTCGTGTTCTTTTCCAAAATGATGTATCGTATGAAAAGAAAATTGATTTTGTAGAAAAATCAGAAGAAAAAATTGTCCGAATAATTGGTACCAGTGGTGTTATACATATATGTACAGATGCGTTACATACGAGTATGTCGAACAAAAGAATGATAAAATAAAGAATTATAAAAGTTATTAGTTTCTTCAAACTAGGAGAATGTTGAAATAATGTGAACAGAATATGAAATGAGGACGAGTTTATAAATGGCTTACTTCTTTGATTTATGATTCAAGCATATTACTTGCAACAAAAGCCTTGTCTCCCCGGCAATGTAACATTCTTCTTATCCAAGATCTGGATATCCTGGGATTATGTGAGCGTTACGAAGCGTATTTAGCATAGTATTACATCGCTGAAATGTTATCCCTTGCAGTGACTGCAGAATGTAAACCGTCTTATGGAATAATCCGATAGTCTCAAGACATAGGACTCAAAATAGTTGGAAGCTCCATCGATCAAAAGAAAGGGAACATGATCTTATTCTGCAGAAATTGCACGCTGCGAGATGGTTTTGTATATCATAATAATTTTTAACTCGAAACATAAAACGATGTTCTATATTTCACAAATTAAAACGTGACCTTCTTGCTAGAGATATTTATATATAAACACAACAGTTTTTAATTGGACAATATTACAATATTTGCATAACGTTAACAGTGAAAGAACTTTTCGTAGCTAGATCGCATGTCTGCGTCATATTATATGCGCGCACAGTTATCATATTTCAATGTTCTTTCTCCTAAAAAGTTAGTGTGTTCTGCTTTTCATCTCTTATTTCTATCTGAATAAAAAATATGTCCTTCATTAATTAATTTATCGTTTCTATCAAATGTTATCCGCGTTATAATGCGTGTAATTCCTCAGCGCTTAAAAAGTTTAATAAAGCGGATTCGCGACCACTTGTGAATGCAAGTATGAAACGTTTTACCAACGTTTTTCATGATATAGGCAAAGAAAAATGCACAATGCTGGGCAGATAGAAAATAACGGAGGAAGCAGAGGGGAGAGTTGTGAATTCAAAGCCCTCGCGCTACCGAGCGTTTCTTTATTATACCGTGCTAGGCCCTCTTTTTTTCCTTCCATCTCTATCCTTTTCATCCTCCACGTATTTCTTTGTCGCGCTTCAACAAATGCACTTTTCTACTTGTTTCGTCTATAGGCCACCTGCGGTTTTATGTATTTACCCATATAAGATTTTACTAACGGCCCGTTTCTGGCCCAAACCTGGTTGCCAAACTACCAATAAATAAACCCGTGACTGGTCCAGTAATGGAATTTCTCTGGAATGATAACTTCGGTCCAACAGTGAATGCCAATGATGGGCAAGTATTGGTCAACATGTCGGGTCAATCTATAATGCCAATATTCGGCCAAGCATAGCGTACAATGCTAAGTGAATTAGTGCTATGTTAGAAAAATATATTATTGTAAATATATGTATATTTACATAAAATATCATTTTTTAATACAAAACTTTATAAAACAACCAGTAGAACTGTATATATTTTGATAGGTAAATCAATTTGCTGACATTCTTATAAAGTAAAGCGTTTGTAAAAAAATATATACAATACAGGGTGAGTCACAATATTTGTGCCAGAGCTCGTGAGAAGGTAGAACGGATCGAGATGAACAGAAAAGTCCTGAACCATTTGCAATTTTCGCAATAGTTAACGAGTAATTAATTATCAAAAATCGTCGTCTTTGCCCTGCCCACTGGCCGTTGCCGGCGAGCTTACGTCGCCGCTCCCGCGTCTCGCGTCCCCACTCTCGCCTGGCAATATCGATCGCCGTGCGGTCACATCTCGCCACGCGCTCGAATTGGACAGTGGGCAGGGCAAAGACGACGATTTTTGATAATTAATTACTCGTTAACTATTGCGAAAATTGCAAATGGTTCAGGACTTTTCTGTTCATCTCGATCCGTCCTTCTCACGAGCTCTGGCACAAATGTTGTGACTCATCCTGTATATTAATATATTTTTAGGTTCTACACTTTTCTCTTCGTAACTTGGTTACAAAAAATCTCAAGAGTTATTGGAAGAGAAGAAAATTTAAGGAAAAAAATGATATCTAATTGTAAGAATGTATATAGTTGTTGTTACTGGTTCAAATATTAAGTTCATTCCATCACTTTATATGTATACTTACACCACGTAGATTATATTTTTTCGCAATACTCTGAATGTCCATCAGCCTGTAGTTGCGGAACACTTACTTACTTAGTTAAAGAAATGTTAATGTGTTGCGGTTAAAAAAATTTGAATGCAAGCAGTATAAGAAGTACTCTTCTCCACAACTCGGTTCTTTTATTACGCGACATTAACGCTCGTCGCAGATGGCTCGGGAGAAATTAAAGAAATTTACATAATCACGATACACTACGCGTATTGTTGCTTGCAACTTTAGCCAGACATTTCACTAATCTACTTTTTAATTAAGCAAATATGCGAGCGCCGGAACAATCCGCATTAGCAGATGTATTGTACGCATCTTGGTGAGATTCCTCAACTTGGTCAGCACAAATGTAATTAATAATGATAATTTTTCTCCCTTCCCTGTCTTCACCTTCTTCCCGAATTAAAATAAAATTGGGATGTGTGCGAAATTTAAACAGCCACGTTAGATATTTACGAATAATTATTTCATTTATTGTTAGATACAACTTTAGCAATACTGCTTACTTCTGTGAGAGATTTCAAGATTAGTATAACCTGGGGTAAGACAGAAAATAAATTGGTGGCATAATGGCAACGGAATTGGTTTCTTTGCTACAGAGAATTGCTACAAGACACGCAGAATAGACCTTTACGCTCGTGATTCGTCCATGTCGTCCTTAAATGTGCTCTCGAGATCCGTCGATCGGGAAAAAGAGCAAAAGAGTTTCGATTTAAAGGATGATTAACCCTAGGAACATTAATTCGTTTTTAGAAAATCAAAACTTTTAGAATATCAAAGACATAAAACATTTTATGCTTGCACATATTATAAAAGAATAGCATACATTCAAATTTTCAGTAATTTTTTATAAATGTGTATTTGGGTATTGAAACCCTGCTATCTCGTATTAGAATTCTATCTCATGTTAAAGGACTTTCCTCTATAGAGATACAGATGTGTAAAATATCTACATCACTTTCAACTCTTTCTTTTCAAATTTTGCATGTGTACTTTTACTTTAAGTACGTGTAGTAATGCACAGGTATATCGTTTTTTTGTTTACTTGAAAGAAAGCATGAAGAAAAATGCGTTGCGATTTCTGAACGTTACATGTTACGTATATCGACATGAGAATATGCGAGATATAAATATTGCAGATCTCAGTATACCGCGTTTCCAATTTCACTTCTGTCATATGAGCGTGCAGAGATGAATACGCAAATACGTAAAGATGGCCACGAGAGGCGAGACGCTTCGATATATTGGAACATCCAGAAAACAGAACAACGAGTCGTAGTGAGCACAATAAAACGTGCCCGACTTCATCTGGCCTGCCGTCCCACCGAAACTCGTACCCCACCGCTTTTCGATTATAAACTGCTAGACGAGCGCGGCAAACGACGTAAGCATTGTCGATTTTGCTGGCGCATGTAAATCGATAGACACCGAAAAAATTGCAAAAAAATTCGTCCGAGGTGGAAAAGAGGAAGAGCAGCGGAGAAAATGGGGAAAGCGATGAAAAAATTGTTGACGCCTATCGTAGCGCCGACATTTCGGGATGAACAATCACGGTAGGCGTGAGCTTTTGCGGAAGTTTGATGAAAATATCCATAAAGCTAGACGAGTAATATCGACCTGGCAATTTATTTAGATTTCGCAAAGATAGCTTCGTTATTTACACGTATACGTTACGTTTAAAAAGATATCAGCTGCGTACTCTGATGTACTCGTATGTATAATATTTCTTCAAATAATACAATTCAATAATTAAAATGTGCAAAATTGAGATTCGCAATTCAAAATTACAACTATTTAGTAATGGTATACAAAAATTAAGACAAAAATACTTTTGTATAAATATTTTCTTCACAATATTGTATTCAATATACAATAATTTTTCATTTTACGTAAAAATCAATATAGATAATAATTAGGGTTACAATCTCCTACAATCTTACTTATGCCTAAAGAGAGAGGTGTGTGTGTGTGTGTACGTGTTGAAATAGCAAAATGTTAAAAATTTAAATGGTAAAAAATGTAAGGAAATGTAAGATATATTATTATAAAAAAAACAAATATAATAATAGCGATAAATATGTATATCGGTGAATATTATACATTCATATACATGATTAGATCGCAGAGTCCGCGGATGACCAGTCGATTCTAACTCTATTCGCATCCCTTTTGTTCGACGTTCGCCCATGGATTTCAACCCTCATCCAGTCTTTACTGCCCATCCCTCTGCTTTTCGGAACTCGGTGAAGCGGGTGGAGGGACGCAGATAACGGTTTTAATTCCGTACGAATGGATCGACGTGCGAAAAAACGGCAGGGAGAATCGTCGGAGAGGCGGATTGATGGACTGCCGGGAACAATGGTTAACTTCGGAAGTAATCGCTTAATTCCTGAATTCCAGCTAGCTTCTACTGTCTGGTTAGATCCCGTATTGCATACTTTCCGGAATCTTGCTGTTTCCCTTTCCTTTTCCCTTTTAACTTATGCACGAGAACATAGTATTCCTTAATCCTCTCACGCACGGATTATCTCTCCCTTTATGACAAAAAGTGAGCAAGAAACTTATACAGCTATTTAATATCACTGCCAACGCGTGATTCCGCTTTTATTAACGCTTTTGTTATCTGACGTAAATTCAGGAAGAATTTCCATTAACTTTTATTAATCTGAGAAAAAGCCAAGATTAAAATACATGCGGCGTGTTGGCACGTATAATGCTAAATAAAAATTTGCATGTAACGTTTCCGTGAATAACTTAAGCCGTGCGTATCACGATATACAATGATTTCCCATGACATGTCGGTGCGAGTTCTTTTTACTCTTTTTCTTTCTTCGCTCTGACTGGTCCTGCGATCCCTACCTGGTACATGGCAATAAAGGGGTTCGCTCAAGCTCAAGTAGAACGAAATAAACAATGGTGCCTTGTTGGTCGGTTCTTTTGCCATGATAAAACTTTTGTCGCGGTGACACACTTACGAGAAACTTTTCCGAGTTATCGACAAAGGTAGGAAACGGTTTGTTCTACTTTCATTTCGTTACTGGACGATGGTATTTTGCCTGCTGAAACTCGTTAACCCAACCACCTCTAACCAACAATTAAAGGTACTTGTCAAATCAAGTTTTAGAAATACATTATAAGAAAGTGTGAATAATTGTCTAACCGGCATTGTGCACCAACAACTTTACGTGTAATTTATTGAGTGCGCAATGTGTATTGAATATATATATGTAACGAGAAGTACAATTAATAAAAATAAAAAATGTAACTATGATGATTGTATACTTACAAGCTCCGTATCTATGCCAGCACCATCCCGGATATTTTCATGATCGACACCAGCACCATTGACCATTCCAGCGCTTGAACCGGTACCACTCGCACTTGCTTTTCCACCAGCACCACCAGCTGGTGTTTGTGGTAAGCTCTGAAAAATAAAGAGATTTATTTTTCAATGATATTGAAAAATATCCATTCGTTGGTTATCGCAGCAAATAAGATAAGAGTATGCTGAAAATATTGTTCGTTATGCTATAGATCCGTTTGGAAATAATTGTATTGCTGCGATGAGCGATCTGTCGAATTTATGCCGCCACTGGGAGCTCGATAACGCGACAGTGGCCGATTTGTTTCCCGCCGAAATCCGTGCTGAAATCTCGTCTCAATTTCACCTCAGCGAGATCCTTCCTTTTATTCGTAACGTCTTGAAGCTTTTCTCCAACTCTTCCTTGCGGCATTCTATAGCAAACGAAGCTGCACCCTTGCCGCTGGCTTTTACGAGGAGGATTAGATGGTGTAAAGGATGGTCGTAAAGGGAAATTCCGCCGAACGTATTTGCCTCGATCGTTCTGGTCGAGGCGAGAAAAATAGCCGCCAAGACAAAGCAATTTGTATGCACTGGGGAAATGTGCGCGCGACAACATTATATAGAGAACTCGACTTTGCCTATTCCACATTAATGCAAGTCCCGCTACTCGACGGCGGTTTTCTCAACGGAAGGATTACGACGCGGTCTTTAAATCAATTTCGCCAACGTGATAGAACTCTTCGAGTTTCCGACATCAGGATTGATCGCCTGCCATCCGCGTCCTGGATAAGGGCGAAACATTGCGAAAACTTTCACGTAGCATCCAGTCGATGCACGTTCTCAGTGACAAGTAATAATTTTTGAATAATCTACCCAGGCGTGTCTCGAGAGGCAAAATATACGGTATTGTTGCCTAAGTAAGATTGATTCATTTTTTTTCAACCGTGACTATCGATCTCAAAATTCGTTGACATGTTAAGGCACCACTCTCATATTTCTATTTTTCAAACCAATTTCGACGATAGATTTCATAATGTATCATGTTCATCATGTTTTATAATACAACTCTAAGGGCCGGTTCTATCATTTCCGATCAATTCGCTACTTACGATAAATGCGATTGGTCCAATTCCAATAAAACACTGAAATTTAACCGGAGAGGAGGATGGAACCGACCCTAATCAAGACTATAGGAAAGATCAACTCTTGTGTGTGTTATATATTTGACAGGAAAAACAAAATCTTAATGTTACAATAAATATGTTTTCCAAGCCAAAGCAGCGAGTGTTGACGAGAGTGAAGAAAAGTTTACTCTTTATCAAATAAATTCTCGCATTAAAATGCTTTAAGGTTTAAGACTCACTAAACCTCACGCTCTAGTGGAATAATATTATATGGTGTTCTTAATGGTGCGCCTTTGTACGCCCAAGTGCGGAGGCATTATGGGTAAAACAGGCGGATCGCGAATAACAGGGAATAAGAAGATTTTTCGTTAGGCGAGCTCTGGAGGTGAGATCAGACTTGAAGGTAGCTAGTGTCTCCGCCCTTCGACTCTATTTCCCGTCGTCATGTTTCGTGTATTGGTAATAGCGCAAAGTGCTCTTCTCGAAGTAATAGTGGCCCGAAGACGACCCTTTAAGCGACGTTCAGCACTTTACGACCGCTCTTTATAAGGACACCTTACTCTGAAGCGCGCGCGTACGCCACCGTTCCTCTCACCTTTCCGAACACTTCCGAACCGATTCGCTTCCGTGCGGCTCAAGGAAAAAAAGTAGCCAAAGTGTGTGCGAGGCAGAAATTCTCCCGAGAGGCAGTTCGCTGCGACCGCAGCATTTTTATTTTCATAGCCGATAGAACGGTGATTAAAGGGAAAGTAATTCCCGTCTCTTGATCGATCTTGCGGATGCAATATATAGGCGTTCTCGTTAGATTCTGTAATAAGTTTCGGACTGTCAGTTCAATTTTAACTAAATTCCATTATAGTTTTATGTTATGTTATGTCTTAGAAAAAGTTATATAATTTAAACTTAATATAAAGCACTTTTCATTTATAATTCAATATTTTGTATTTACATTTTTACACTTCCTTCCGTCGCTTTATGTTATATTGTAACTTTTATAATTGGTATTAATAGAATGACGAGTAAAAAAGTAATCTCCATTTTTCGATTAATTTTATAAATTGAAAGTATAAATCCACTTTGGGGTTTCCGTAATAAATTTTACATTTTATTTGTATATCCTTGCTGTTGAATTGAATTGCGTCATAAAGATCTAAATAATTATTTGCAGAAATTATTTAGATCTTTACGTTACGAAACAATAATTCTTATAGCCGTACAATCACTTTATTACATTTTCTCATTTGATTATCTAATTTCCACCTTACCTCCAATTTTCGAATTTCCTAGAAGAACTTTTTGAAATAAGACATAATGAAAGCAGCTTTTTCGCGACATTTTTTATCAGTGCAAATCATTTCACCCGTGCCAGTTTTATCGATGAGAAAGAGCGGAAGGGTAAAGAAGGATAGTGCTTCGTACAATCACCGGTACGCCCTAGAATTCTTCTAAAACTGAATTTCTTCCCAAAGACCGTAAAGTGCACCATAAAAGAGCAACTAAGGCCGTTCAGAGAATTCGTGAGGAAGTTGAAAATGCAAAGAAGACTTGTGCGAAATAAAATGCAGCGCGAACAGATGGACAAAGGATTTCGATATCTAAAGAGAATAGCTTGGTGAATAGTCAATTGGGAGTTTCGTATTTAGTTGAAGATAGTAAACAAATGATAAAAAAGTAGGTAGCAATAAAAGTTTGCGATACATTATTAATCATGATTTATGACATTCATGAATAATAGAAAACTACGAGGATACTTCATCATTGTCCATAATCGTTTGAGAGTAGAAAAGTTACCATTTCCTTTCAACTTTTGTTATTACTTGTTTTCATTCATGTAAAAAAATACGTATTATAGATAATTTTTCTTAAGAACAAATACGTTTTTTTTTAAATATAAATACAGGCACTGTATGATCGTATTAATAAAAAATATCTAAATTGTCTCTAGCTGTATACATATGTATGTCATTCTAAGGGATTTAGATAAATCTTTGATAACCCAAATTTAAAAAGTTTCTTTCACATACACGATTGTACTTAATAAATATCACAATTTAATTGTTTATTATTTATAATTATGTAGACTGCTAATCTGTTAATTTATAATCTAATTACTCATCTATATCTTATAATATCTTGTGATGTCTGATTATTCGTTGATTAGAACTACTGTGAACGAATATTTTCAAGCAATTCAGCTTTTCAGAATATTTCCATGTACAATATTAATTGTAAATTTCGTAAATTGCTAAACACACACACACGTAGCAGCAGCATATATGTATACTTGTGTAATTCTTCGTGTATACATGTATAAGAAGAATATGATTGAATAGATTTGAGTAGTAGAAATGAGAAATGCACTCTTACGTCATCTTGTGATAAAAATGAAATTGTATAATATGTAAAGATCGTCTACACATTGCAATGAGAATAAAATGAAGCACATCGTTAAGATGTTTGGGGCAATATATCTAGTGTATATCTATTTTATAGGTCTGTAAATATTGTACAAAGTATCGTGTTGGGGAAGGAATCTGAAGATTGGAAATGCCATGAATTTTATATTCTTACATTTTCTTTTTTGGCAGGATAAAGCGCAGGTTTCCGTCATATATTTTCTAAGAGTATACGCAAGAGTTTTCCTAGTGAGGTGACATGAACGTAGAAATGGTTAATTTATCGTACATCATAAATCTCGTTTTTATTGTTTTAGACGGTTCAATATTTGGCGCGAATGAGAAGGTGGTGCCGTAAATCTCGTTTACGTCGTGAGCTGTGGAACGTATACGAGAGACGCGTCGCATTTTATTTCATGCACATACACGCAGCCTTATTTTGACCGCGCAAGTATTTTATTCACTGAATAACGAGGTAAACATTAAAGAATAAAAAGTGGAAGGAGCGCACAGGAAGAGTTTGGAAAATACGACATTATTGATTATTTAATATACCGAAGTGTTTAAGCTAGGAAAACGATATTTTGTATGCTTTGTCAAGACTCGTTCTCGTAAACCTGGTTCAAAAGGCTTTATCATGATGGGAAGTGAAGAAGGTGGGTACGCGCGTACTCGCGAAAGTACTGAGGGTACTGACAAAAGACGCGAAGGTGCTACAGTAAAGGCGAGTAAAACGTAAGGTAGTGTAGGAGGTGCTGAGAGGAAGAGCGATATTACAGAGTCGGAATGCTTGGCTGTTATTACGAGAGAAACTCAGGAATTTCTCCATTATTTAAGGAAGCCCAATACGTGTTCTGACAAAAGATAAGATATTTCGCTTATAATACGGAATAGTTGAACAAACATTACATATATTGGTTAAATAATAAGACATCATAATCATTGAAAGAAGAAACAATTACATTTCAGTCAATTAGTCACATTAATTGAGTAAAAGTTATTAGTCTCTGGTATACCAATATATACATGTAAAGAATAAACGGAAATAGAAGGTCAATATATTATGTTTTTCTTTAAACAAAAATAGTTACGCTAAATTGCATAAACAATGTGTAGTCCGTATCAAAATTTAATTTCGATATATTATTTAGGTGCTATATGTAAATAATGACACATGAACAGTGTCGTAACTAGGAATGTTGGCGCCCAGGACAAACGCATCTAATTTTGCGCCCCCAAATTAAATAATAACAATAGTAAATAAAGGTTTTCAGATGAAAACATATTTAGGTATCATTAAAGATTAAAAAATATATACACTTTATTGCACAAAATGTTCAACATAAATTATTGAAAGCCATATTAATCACAAAGGTACTTAAGATAAAATAGGTACCAAACCTAGGTACAAAACATTGCCCTCTAATTGTGCCGCCTCGGGGCTTGCGCCTCTGGCGTGGGCCCCGGTTGCCCTGCCCTAGTTACAACACTGCACATAAATAATATATATGCAGAATAAAAGTGAGATATGTATATATTTCGAGTAATTATTGTTATAGAAACGTATTTGTGTTGTCCGACGATTATGCAATCATGCGTA